GTGCTGAGAGCAGGAAAATGAGCAATGCATGGCCTGTTAAAGGGATTCCAAGAGGGGGATGGTTTGGGGGCGGCCCAGAGGGCCGAATCCTGACTCTAGTCTGTGCCTGGAGACCAGGAATGGCCTCCCCTGGCAGACTGAGGGAGGAGGCTGCAGCATCTGAATCACTGGGTTCCTGCAAGAACATTCGGCACCCAGCGGCCCCGCGTGGGCTGTCACCAAGCAGGAACAAGGCCCCCAGAGCCCCTCCGCGCTGCCTTCCCCACGGCTTCCCGCTCTCTGTTCCCACAGCTGTTTCTTCAAGGCCACAGAAGGAGAGTAGGAGTGGGGGCAGGCGGAGAGGAGGCCATGCAGGCTGCTGGGCCAGAATTTGGGAGCTGGTGGGGGAGGGGAGCGTCCCTGGTTGAGGGTCTAGTGAGTTCCAGGGCTGCCTGAGCCTTGGGATTCTGCTCCAGATGGGGAAAGTGAGACTCAGAAAAGGAGAGGGCCTGCACCCATCCTGCACATGTACAGATTCCTGGTTCTCTCCTGAAAGCTGAAAGCTTGCCTGGATCCTTCAGTATAACGCTGATCACGTCTGTCTCTGTGGCTCCAAATTCTCCCAGGGCTCCCTGGTACCATCAGAACAAAACCCATACACCTCATCACCATCCATGAGGCCCTGCCTGGGCCCTAGGACCTTTTGAGTCACCAGAGCCCCCCTCTGAGAAAGTGAGCCTCCCCCTCACACTGCTTTGGCCTTTCCCCTCCCCCCTGCCTCAGGGATTTTGCTGTGCCTTAGACCTGGAGCATCTGTGAGTTACAGTCCCCATTTGATCCCTTAGGCTGAGGAAAGGCACAAAGAGAGAGAGAGGAACAACACACAGCAAGTCAGCGGTAGTCCTAGTCAGTAGTCAGTGTTCCCAAAGCTGGCCCATCTGACATACCACCTCCCCCCACTTCTCTTCCCCCAACAGTGCCTTATTTAAAGCAGGCTCAACCAGTCCACCGCAGAGCTGACTGATTCCCAGCCTCTTCAGGTCCTATCTCCAGTTATGTGCCCAAGACCCTCAGGCCCAAGCCTCCTGCTCAGGGAGCTCCCAGGCCAACCTGATCTCCAAATCTCCCAGGGTCCCGCCTATCCCTGTCATGGCCGTAATTTCTCCGCCCCACTTTCCACCCTTCACGTAGGCAGATTTCAGAGGAGCCTTCAAGGACGACACAGCCAAAAATAATCAGGTCCTGACCTACCTCCCAAAAATGGGACAGCCCCGCCCAGGCACCTGGCACCACAGAGGTAATTAGTGCATGTGGCAAATGAGGGTAATTAGGTCTGTGGGAGCCAAACTGAGATCCAGGTTTGGAGTTGGGGACAGAGCTGCTGATGCCCCCCACCCCCAACCCACCTTGGTCCTGGGACCTCAAGTTCATAACCCAGGGTCAGATCCCGCCCCTCAGTACCTTAATGCCTAGGACTGAGGGATACTTACTTCCTGGGGGCTGCTTGTTTAATTAATTAAACTTGGCTTTGGGCAGAAGTTAAATTGGATCTAAATTTAAGGTGTGGTCACTTTCATGTGATGAAAAACCACCAATATTGCGTCAGCAAACTCTCCTCTATCATGATACTCCATACTGAAAAATGCCAAGCCTAAAGAAGGCCTTAGCCCAGTTCTTGAGGTGCCCTCAGACTGGAAGAGTCAGCTAGACACAGGCATTCCCAGCCCCTTGGCATCAGGGTTTGGCCACAAGGAGGGAAGGCACTGAAAAAGGTTTAGTAGGAGAGAAGGAAAGTCTTCTTGGAGAAGAGGGCATTGGGGTGGGACTTTGAAGGATGAATAAGAGTTTGATGGGAGGCTGTTCTGGTGACTGGTCCAACTGGCCATGACTGGAGGGATGGGAGAATTAGGAGAAGGGTGGAGAAGGGATACATAAGAACCTCAGAGTTGAAGATTTACAGGATATCACACTAAGTTGGTTCCATTCCCTTAAAAGCTCATGCCTGGGTGGGACCCTTCAACCATAGAAAAAGAAAATCTTAAGAACATGGCTCATATATATAATGTTTATAATAGCTAGCATTTATTAAGTTCCTAAGGTCATGCCCTCTTTGTGTAATGACTCTTTTGATTCACACAGGAAATCTCAGAAGTAGGCACCATTCTTATATGCCTTCTATAGACGGGGAAACTAAAGCACAAGAGAGGGAAATTGGCTTCTTTAAGGTCACAAAGCTGGCAAGAGGTAGGCTGGGATTCATTCTCTACCTTATGTGAGTCTGGAGGTCACCAGATACCAAGGTTGGGGCCTAAGGAATCTCCCTCTTCTGGACGCATTTACAGATCCTGCTGCAGGTCAGGCTTGCTCCAGATGCTAGGACAGAGGTGGGCAGTAGCCAAATCATGCCATAAACTAATTCAAGTGGTCTCCATGAGCCATCATGCCTTGAAGCTAAGCATGTAGCTTTGGCACATTTCTTGGGACAGGAACCCTCTATGGGGGAGAGATGATTTAGGTTCAGTTCAAAGGTTGTATCAGATAACTAGGCAAAGGTCAGAGTTTGATCTATAACAGGCACTTTGCAAATGCACCTCACCTAAAGACAAATGACTTATCCTAGTCCCTGCATCACTCCTTCTATGACAGGGAGCTCATTATCTCATGTGTGTTCTCACTCCCAAGGGAAAACTGTCACTTCTAGTCAGCAGCCTCTAGTTATCCAGAAAGGATATCCCCCATCCCTTGGAAGAAAGTTATAAGCCTTGGGCAGAAGAGGACTCAGGCTGGGTTGACAGTCGCAACTCAAGGAAGCCCCCTATCCATCTGTACTCAGGGATATGAGGAGCTGCTGGTGTTGATGGATCTCCCCTGCCTCCTCCCACCACCCTTAGATGGAGCACACCAAAGCGTCAACCCATTCTCCAGGTGAGAAAACTGGACAAAGCCACATCCTCAGTTTGGACAACTTCAGGTAAGGGCTGCTCAAGATCAGCCACAGCCCAGCAGCCCCCAGAGGCCTAAGAGGGGGCCAAAGTCTCTGTCACACTGTTGTTTTCCACCTATACAGGAAGTCTGCCCAGGCCTCTCACCTGACCACCCCCCTAGCATAGCCACGTGGCTCTGTAGTTGTCTTGCATTCAGCATCCCCTAAGTGGATTCCAGAGCCTTGGCCCCACCAGCACCTTTCCAGTTACATTTAAAAAAAATAATGTTCTTTTTGGTAATAAGGAAAAGTCACTCTTTGCACAGAACAGACGGTATTTTCTTTGTTCCCCACAGTGTTCAAGTGTTTTGTGGCTTAGGGCCTGAGAGTGAAGCCAAATCTTTTGTTGGTGCAGATGCCTTGTGAAGCTAAAAGCAGCTGGGGAAACTGATTCTGTGCCTCAGTTTCCCCAACTAGAGTGAGCCATTTCTATGATCCTGGATGATGTTAGGGCTCCAAGACTCTGTAGACCCCACCATGACAGGATTAATAAGAAGGTAACACAGATCAGGGGTCTCACAGAATGTGAGGGGGGTTGGGGCAAGGGAGAGCAGGGGATGATCAGAGGACAGGAGGCCGAGAGTTGAGCCTGGAAGGATAAAGCGGAATGGATGCTGGGGAAAGGCATCCAAGGTGGAAGGAACAGCTTGGTCAAAGGCCTGGAGGGAGAAAAACTCAGATCTTGGCCTGGAAGTAAGTCTCCAGAAACCACAGGAACTAGAATTCACCTAAAGGTCATTTGAAGGAGGCTGCTGGCTCAGAAACACAGAAATAAAAGGACAAGGAACAGAGATGAAAAGCCCAAACCTCTGAGGTTGTCAGAGAACTCCAAGGTGAGGCTCATATTGTCAGGAAACTGCCAGCCTTAGTTCTGAGGAGCTGGGGAGCCTCTGCCACCAGCTCCATGTAACTTTTGAGGGGTCCTCAGAGAAAGGGCAACCACAGGATTGACAAGAGCCAGTTGGAGCCAGGGGAGGTCCATCCCATCTCAGGTCTAGAAGATGGTCTCCCAGGAAGAGTGTGAGGGAGAGGCACCCCTGTCCAGAGGGGGCACCTCTGGAGGCATCACTCACTGGTTGGGAACTGCAGGAGACATTCCCTCCAACCTGATTGTGGGATCAGCAATAACAATCTGAGTCCTTGTTATGGCTGTCCTGAGGGAGGCAGAAGGGGACAGGAGGCCCCTGAGTACCCAAGATCAAGTTCCATTAAATGTCTGTTTGCGGCTCTCATCGTTTTCCACCCCACTCTCTGGCCAAGTATTTTTCATTTCCTGGCAACACCCACTGAGCACCTACTATGTGCAGACACTGGGAGCCATCCAGGCCGCAAACATGTCCCTGGACCCCCATCACGGTCGGACGTTCATGACCCCAGGCAGCGAGGGCACTGGCAGCCAGACCTGGCGAATCAGGCCAACCCTGACCCCAGGACATCTCCCAATCCCTTCCCACTCCTCCCTCCCGCTCCGGGCCCGAGCACACGCCCCGTCCTCTCCCTCCCCCGCCGCGGTAGACCGGCAGGGGGCGCTGCGGAGCGGAGGCGGGGCGGTGGCGGTGGGACCCGCCGCGATGGGACCGGAGGCGGCGCGGGCGGCGGCGGCGCAGACAAAGGCGCGGGCGGCGGGCGGCGCGGAGGGCGCGGGCCCCGGAGCCAGCAAGCGGGCGCGCGCCGGGCTGCGCGAAGTCGGCGCTGGGGGGCCGCACCCCACTCGCGCGCGGACACTCTCGGGGCGCCGAGCCCGTAGGGTGAGCCCGGCCGACCGAGCCTGCGCCTGGGGCGCAGAGGATCCCCGAAGTTCCAGGGCCGGGAAGAGGAAGCAAGGGGTCCCCGAAGTTGTGGACACGGAGGCTGGGGGCGGCGCGGGGAACCTCGAAGTTCCAGGGCTTGAGGGGGGTCCGCAGGGGCCCAAAATTCGGGAGTCGGAGAGGGGAAGGAGCAGTGCGGGGATTCCCGGCGTTCCGGACCCGGCGTTGGAGGAGGCTCGAAGGTGTCTCCGGAGTTCCGGACGCGGGGTTGGAGCGGGGAGCGGCGCGAGGGGTGCCAGAATCCGAGCCTGGGGCTGGCAGGGGGCGCCCGCCGGGGCCGGGCGTGGAGAATCCCGAAGTTCTGGACCACGGGTTGGAGGAGACAGAAAAGGTTCCACGAAGTTCTGGACCGAAGTCGGGGAGCGGGGGCGTCGTGGGGATTTCGGAAGTTCCAGGGTCTCGGGTGGCAGTTCCCGAAGTTGGGGCGCGTACTGGGCGACCCGTTCCTGCCGCGCGTGGGGACTCGATTCTGACTGATATCACGGAGCTGAGATGCATGGGGTGGGGCTTCGCCCCCTCACGCGCTTGGGGATCAGGCACCGGGCGGGGTCGGGCCCCCCTCCAGGAGCCCCGGGCCGCCCGGCGTCCGAGGCGCATGACTAGTTGGTGAGTAACTTTCCCCAAACGTTGCAAGTCGCGGCAGGAGCGTCAGGACCGGAAGGGCCTGAGTTCCCGGGATCCCTGCACCCCAGAACCCCAGGACTTGCCTACAATCTCCACTAGAGCCGTCGCCCCTCCTCCACCCAGGGGCTCCGATTTCAGACCCTGTGAACCAGACAGCAGCTGCCCTGGACTGGGTGGGGAGGGGAAGAGGCATTCCCCCTCTGGCCACTGAGGTCGTTCCTTCTTCCAATTTGCCACCCCCTCCCCCAGATCCCTCTTGAGTCCCCCGGCTGCCGGATTGAAGGTACACAGGTGAGGGGCGGAAGTCTCTCTGGTAGTTGTTTCTGGCCTCTGTTAGGTGGTTGGCTAGAGGAGTCAGAAGCGAGGTACAGGGGCGCCCCCCATCTCCAGATCCTGGATACCCCTGGGCCTCCTGGTATGGAGTTGAGAGGAGATGGGTCTTCTGGCTGTAGGCCCCAGGGCTGACCTGTTTAGTTACATCTGTCTTTTTAACTAGGTTGGGGGCTCTCTGGGGATTTGTACTTTGACTCCAGGTTGTGCCTCTGCCCTGGAGGAGAAGTTGGGATTCCCTCAGAGTGGAGGGGGGAGTGGTCTCCAGTAGGCACCAGACTACACCCCATTTTTTGTGGAGGCCCTGGCTTGGGTCGTGACTGGGGAATGTGGCAGAAAGTACTGGGCCAGAATTGATCTTGGACTGCATCTCCACCCAGTCCCTAGACTGAGGGTGCTTCACTGGGGGTTCTAGTAACTGGGACTTGACAATGAAGGTTTGTGCTATGATGTCAGGTACCACCTGGCTCCCCTCAGAGTGTTGTGGGGATAGGGGTTCCTTCAGAAAGGGAGAGATGAGAGATGTTCTTTTGTTCTTTTGCCTTGAATGGTATACTGATTCCCTCCCGTTTTTGAAACAGTTATATGAATGGTGTGCCAGGTTGTGAGTCCTGAGTTTGGACATCTTTGGCCTCCCTCAATCTGTCACACGCCCCCCTCTCTCCCCAGAGGCCAAAGCAACAGACCTGCCATCCCTCTGGCTACCTCTTGGAACTTACCCAGCCCAGCCTGACCAATGTCCACAGCCAGGTAAGCCCCGGTCGCCCTCACTTGGCCCTTAACCCCTCTAGAGGGTTAGGGGGTTCGGGGGCACCCGACTCCCTCCTGAGAGCCCTCTCTCCACACAGGGAGCAGCCCATCTTCAGCACACGGGCACACGTGTTCCAGATTGATCCCGCCACCAAGCGGAACTGGATTCCTGCGGGCAAGCATGCACTCACCGTCTCCTACTTCTACGATGCCACCCGCAATGTTTACCGTATCATCAGCATCGGGGGTGCCAAGGTCTCCGGGTGGGACTTGGGTGTGAAGGCAGGCCTGGGTGTGGTAGCTGCCTTGCTGTTTGCCTGGGGTCAGGGGAGCGCTGAGCCTTTCTGTACCTTAGTGTCTTCCACCTGAAATGACTCAGGCCAAGGATCTCCGAGGCACTAACACAAAGTGATAGCCTAGGAATTTCATGTTCATTATTACCCGTCCAGTCATCCTTGAACTTTGTTTCCCCCTTCCTCAGGCCATTATCAACAGCACCATTACCCCCAACATGACCTTCACCAAAACCTCCCAGAAGTTCGGGCAGTGGGCAGACAGCCGAGCCAACACTGTCTACGGCCTTGGCTTTGCTTCGGAGCAGCATCTGACCCAGGTGGGTCGCCAGAGGAATGTGTCTGGGTTTTCTGGGTGACTGGGTCCCTGGACAGCTGCAGGGCCTCAGCTGTACAATGGGCATATGAAATTGGACAAGCCAGAAACCCCTTTCCAGGTCCCTCGTTCACATCTCAACTTTGCTGGTCACCAGCTCCAATTTTGGGCATACCTGGCCCCTGTGGGTGCTTGGGTGGGACTTGGAGCTTCCCCAAACACCCTGGCTTGTCTTTGTTCACATTGTCCCTCCACCCTCAGCTATCACTAGACTTCAATATTGTCTTATATACCTGACAGCCAGTACTTCCTCTGTCCTGCCGAGATCACCAGGATTTTCTCCTCCAAGTGATCATTTTCTTTTCACATTAAAATAGTTTTGAATTAATTGCTGTGGGCAGTAGAAGGTAATCTTTTTTTCCCCACATAAATGCTGGTTGTTCTTGACCATTTTTTAAAAAGACCACTTTCCCAAATGAATTGCACCACTCCCTTGACTAACATCAAATAGCTGTATGTCTGTAAATATTTTCTTTAAAAATTATTTTCAAATGAAGGAACTTTATTTAAAAATTAAAAGTCTGTCGTACCTTAACCTTATGGTAAAGGTAGAGATTAGTGAAACAAAAATGACACCAGCAGAGTGGTGAACAGATGACTTTCAGAGCTGCTTTCTCTTTTTGTTATAAAAGGATTTTGTCCCAGGCAGTAAATAGCACCTGCCTCAGGGTCTCCAAGTTGAAATAAACTTGGTAGAGAGAATGAGGGGATTCTTTTCTTGAGGAATCTCACAGTGAACCTTTGTGCACATCCCATCCTACCCTGAGGTTCCCTCACCCCCACAATGCTCACCAGGGTATCTTTTAACAAGTCTTCTTTCTAAAAGTTCCTTCCAAAGCAACAGGGTTGGCATTGGGTGGGGTGACCTGGTGGGGCTTAGGGGAAGAGGCTAGGGGCTGGTGACTCTTTGTTCCTGCTTGCCCACCCCAGTTTGCTGAGAAGTTCCAGGAAGTGAAGGAGGCAGCCAGGCTCGCTCGGGAGAAATCTCAGGATGGTGGGGAACTCACCAGTCCAGCCCTGGGGCTCACAGCCCACCAGGTGAGCACTCGCGCCCCATGCCCTGGTGCCCAGACCCGAATGTTCAGATGAAATGGCGGTAGGTGAGATGATGAGATGGTGATATGGTGGTAGGAGCCTGGGGAAGGGGAAGGGTGTGGTGCCATGCATGGGGCCTGTCTTATGGGTACGACCTAGTCTTGTTTCAGGGAAGGCCAGAAAGCCAACTCATAGGGCAGAATCAAAACCTGGTAACTGAAATGGCCACACAGGGGAACAGAGTAAAGACCTGTCCCTGGGCAGCTCTGCTGCAGCACCAGACACGTTAGATATGAAAAAGCAGGCTGGCTCTGGCTCCTGACCTCAGGGCTGGAGATTCTGGTGATAAGATCTATTCATAATGAATTCAGAGGAGAGGGCTTCTTGTCCCAATCATCGGTGGAAAAGGTGTTGAATTCTGCCCCCCCCCCCAGGGTATTGCTAGGAGGGCTTCTGAATAAGCTCGTGGATTTAAACTGGTCTACTATAGATCCCTCCTGGGGTGGAGGTAGGGGGTTGATGAAAGCTCAGGCAGGTAAGATGGGGGGCAGGGACCCAACTCCGCCAGGAGCCCTGGAAAGTGGTTGAGGAGGGGAGGGGCACCGTGGGCTCCCTGTGCTGGAAGGATCCCTGCCCTCAATGAGGACCGCACTAACATCTGTCCTCACCCCAATCATGACTTTCTAACCTGGGCTGGGCTGCAGCCACTCCCCCCTATGAGTCCGCTTCTGCCTCTGCCCTTAGGTGCCCCCCAGCCCCCTCATCAGCACCAACGGCCCTGGCGATGAGAAATTGTTCCGCAGTCAGAGCGCAGACGCCCGGGTCCCGCAGAGCGCGAGCGGCTCAAGAAGATGCTGTCGGAGGGGTGAGGGAGCCGTTGCGACAGGGAGCAGCGGGGCCGAGGGAGGCTCTGGCTCAGAAGCCGGTGGAGGACGGGCGGGCGGAATCCGTGAAACCGAGGCCTGAGAGCAGGGAGAAGTAAACCCCATCCAGTCCCGTGGGGAGTGGACCCCCTCCACTCTGCCCTTACTTTGGCCACGCCTTCCCGGGATACGGGATAATACGACCCCCACTCCCCCCTCCTCTGGGACAGTGCCTCCCCACTCGCCAGTTCTGACCCCATCCCCTGGGCCGAGCCCGCCCCGCATTTCTCACTGAGCTATCACCTAGCACCCTAGGGGAGACCCCCCCCGGCCCCCCCGGCACCCTAGGATGTACAGCCCCTGCCCCGTCTCGAGAGGGTGTGACCACACCTGGGTCCCTGCGCCTCCCACCCTGGCCCCCCCGCCCCCACCTTACCCCCTGCTGCCAGCCCCTGCCAAGCCCCTGTCCTCCCTGCAGCTCAGTGGGAGAGGTGCAGTGGGAGGCAGAGTTCTTCGCGCTGCAGGACAGCAACAACAAGTTGGCAGGCGCCCTGCGGGAGGCCAACGCCGCCGCCGCCCAGTGGAGACAGCAGCTGGAAGCCCAGCGCGCTGAGGCTGAGCGATTGCGGCAGCGAGTAAGGGGACACTTCCTACCCCGGGTCCTTGAGTTCCTCCGTCATGTCACTTTCCTGAACCTCCGCCTCTTGCTCTGTAAAATGGGTCTGATATAATGCCACCTGAAGAGTTGACAGGCCCTAAAGTCCCATCATCAGAGACGGGGTGGACCCAACCAGTGGGTGTTACTGTGCAGGAGGCAGGTTCCCCAGGGGTCAGGAGCTGTCCTTCCTGTCTGCGTAGGTGGCCGAGCTGGAGGCCCAGGCAGCCACGGAGCAAACCCCAGTCAATGAGAAGGAGGGGCTGTGCCAATCACTCCAGCTGGAGCAGCTGGAGGCACTGGTGCAAACCAAGGACCAGGTGAGCACTTAGCTTGTGAACATATCTATATTTGTGTCCCTGCCCTCGCCTTCCCTGACATCCCATGGGGAAGCCGGAACCTCCAAACAGACCCTGGGAACTCTCCCCTAGGAGATTCAGACACTGAAGAGCCAGACTGGTGGGACCCACGAGGTACCGGATGCCACAGAACGTGAGGAGACACAGCAGAAGGTGCAGGTATGTGAGGCTGCTGCGGTGGGGGAATAGGAACTAGGCAACCACCCCCTGCTGTGGGATGCATTTGGGCGTTCCCCCTCCTAGTGAGTCCTGGTAGCTGTGTGCCTCCCTGGGCCTCCATTTCTCTACCTGTAAATGGGGTCAGGAAGATCTGATGCTGGGAAAACCTGGTTGTAAATGGTAGTTGTTATTGGTACCATGTTTTTCTATTCATCCACACATTCAACAAGCAGTTTGATTCCCTACTGCATTCCCATGTTTGACCCCATCAAGTTCTCATACATCCCGGCCTGGGATCAAAAACCTGCATCTGAAGCTACACCTGACTATTGCTGAGGACTTTATCTGTGAAACTTTCATGGGATGCCTCCTGTGGGTATGGGAGGTGGAGATGTTAAAGGATCTGGTGCCCTCAAAGGTGTCCTAAGAGAGAGAAGTGGGCAAATGCTCCTTGTTTTCTTGGGGGCAGAATGCACAGTATGTGCAAAGGCCCTGCAATGGGAAGCTAACCAGTTCAAGGAAGCACAGGGAGGCTACAGGCTTGAGTTGGGATGAGCAAGGATAAAAGGGGAGTGTGGATCTTCTTCCCAATTTCTTGGCTAGGGGAGGGTTTTCAGTGGATGAGGGATGTGAGCAGTTCTATGATGTTGAAATCATTGGGGACAGGGAATGTCTTGGCAGAGATAGCAGGGAGGCAGTTGGGAGATGGAGAGCGGGGGCTGTGAAGATGGTGTGCAGAGGCTGAGGCCTCAGCAGAGCTGTGACCTGAGACTTACTGGGCCACCCAACTCGCCCTGCCCCTCCCTGCAGGACCTGGAGACCCGAAATGTGGAACTGGAGCACCAGCTGCGAGCAACGGAGCGCAGTCTAGAGGAGGCACGGGCTGACCGGGAGCGGGCGAGGGCCGAGGTGGGCCGGGCCGCACAGCTACTGGATGTCAGGCTGTTCGAGCTGAGTGAGCTGCGAGAGGGCCTGGCCCGCCTGGCTGGGGGTGCACCCTGAGCCAAGCCTTCAGAAGCTGCTTTTACATAAACCATGCCCACCTGGTGCACGGGCTGGGCCGCAGGCGGCACAGTGGGCCGTTCGCCCTGGCTGGAACTGGGGCTGACTCAGCCTGGGGAGGGCCTGGTCACAGTGCCCAGCTGGTCCTGGCTCTCAGCTCAGGGGCTGGTTTTGAGCTTTTCATCGTGTAGAATTTCTAGAATCCTTGGGGCATGTGCTGGCGCCCAGATTACATTTCTAAGCGTAGCTGTGTGTGCGTGTGGTGTGTGGGCACCAGGCATCAAGCCACCGTCATGGGGCCCTCTACCCGCCTTCTCTTAACTGTACCCTAGCCGCCTTGGTTCACATGGGACTTGGTCGGCCATGTGTAGGCGTGGCAACATTTGGAAAGTTGCTGGGCTGGGTTCCAGCTCTGCTCAGGGTTGGTGCCCCCTTCCCCTTGGACTCAGCCTGAGCTGTCAGAACTTAGGTGGCCCCTCGTCAATACCCTCTTCACTCTGGCCTCAAGCCTTAAATGAATTCAGGTGGGCAGGTGAGGCAGCCCCCAGAATTGGTGGGCAGTGGTGTTCACTGGGTGGGGGAGTGGTCTCCCTAAACCTCACAGATGCAACTGGAGAATGGTGCAGTTGCTGTGTTAACCTTTCAGAGAGGAAACTGAGGCCCTGAGGCAGCTTCATAAACCGGAGGTCACCACGCTGGAACACAGTGTAAAACTTTGGGCATGTCTGGACAGGAATGGAGACCCAGGGTGGGGTGGGATGACATGATATTTGGGGGTGGGGGGGAGGCACACGAAGCATATTAGCCACCTCTCTTCCCCTGCCTCCAGTCCCTAAGAGATAGGGATATCAAAAGATCCATTTATTGAGTGCCCCTTGCAAGCAGCTTCTTGTTCTGACCCCACCATACCTCCATGAAGGGACTCTGGCCACAGCCAGCCCCCCTTTCCTTCTCTGAGGCCTCTTTCCAAAGCTCGGAGGAGGGGCCAACGGGGACCACAGGGTGGATGAGCTGTACTCTGCATGATGGGGTGTCTGTACATGCTGCTGAGGGGGGCTGGCAGGTTGTGGTGGGGCCAGCTGTCCCCCAGGAAGGAGTCCTAGGTAGCACCCGTGGAGCTCAGGCCAGGTCCTGGTCCTGGGTTGAGTGGTTCTTAGGTTGGGTATTGGGTAAATGTCCCCTTCGGCCAGCCTTGCCAGCCTGTTGCTGCTTCAATGTCCGCTGCACTTTTTCTTTGAAGCGCCGGTTCTTCTGCTTGATCTTAGCCAGTTCTGCTTTGCGCTTGGCTTCCAGGTCTGGGTCCTGGCATGGGGAGGACCAGGGGAAGGGGGTATCTGAGCTGGGCAATGCCCCTACAACCTCACCCACCACCTACCTACCTGCCTGCTGGGTCCTCACCTTCCCCTCCAGGATCAGCTGCTTCCGCTTATTGATCTCCTTCTTTTCATCAAAGTTGGCTGCCTCCAGTTTCTGATGGGAGAGGGGGTGGAATCCCGTCATGGAGGGCCACCTCTTGGAGGGAGCACCCTCACCCCAGGACCAGCTCCCCAACACTCACAATCTCACACTCCCTCCGCACCACGTTGACCTGTGTGAGAATCTGCAACACCTCGGCCTCCTCCACTGAGAACTCCTCCAGCTTCTTCTCTGTGGGGATGTGAGGCGCGGCAGGGGAGGGTAGCATGACAGGGAAAGACAGTTTACCCACAACAGTGAGCTCCCCTTTGGGGAGAGGGCACATACAAGGCCATCCAGAGCTCTATCAGGTGGGCAAGACCAGGGATTCCAGCTTTCTGTCACTTAGCTTTTGGAAAGCATGCCCTTTAAAGCCAAAAGACATTTCGGAACATATGTGACCCACATTTCTGGCTCGCTACATATTAAACTACCCAAAGGGGTTTTAACACATCCAGGCTCTGTCCCTGGAGCCTCACATCCACAGGAACTACCCACACGCCTGAGAAACCCCACTCCCTTCCCACTTGACGTGGCTTTCAGCTGCTGAGAGCCACTGTAGGGAGCTCCTGTTCCAATGGTTGGGCAAAAGAAACTTCTCTAGGGTTTCAGACAAAAGTGACTTAAGCTGCTCACAGCCTCCCCCACTGTTCACACCCACTCACTGATCTGTTCTTCGATGGCGTGGACCAGGTGGATGTCGTACTGTGTCACTAGTGTGATGGCCTGGCCTTGTCGCCCTGCAGGAATGTACCAGTTATGTGTGTAAGGCCTGGATGAAAAGCCAACAAAAGCAGATCCTGACCACTTGGCAGCTAGGGATTCCTCCTGTTCAATCAAGGGAAGTAAAATCAAGGTTTGATAGGTAGGGGAGGTGAAGGAAACTCAGGGCTCTACCACCAGCTGGACCTCAGTCTAATGGGTGGTCTGTCTCAGGGCAGCAGCTACTTGTTTGACTTAAAAGGGGGTTGGCAACATGGCTGTTTTCCCTTTTCTATGTCACTGCCAGGAAGCTCAGGTTCTAATGTCATTGAGAAGCCTAGATCTTAGGCACACTAGTTCTCCACTCTTTTTCTGTGACAATGATTAATGCTAGGACAGCACTCACAAGTGATGAGGCCCATGAGCCTGGAGCAGCTGCAAACAGGCATGATGCACCAGGCATCTGGGGCCCACAGAGCTGATATGACCTATCTAAGGCCATGGGTAGGAGAGAAGGTCCAGGGCCCAGCCTAGTCTGGCCCCAGAAACTATGCCTCTCCCCGTCCTGGGTGTGAAAGAATCCCACACACTCCATGCTCCTCCCTTCTGGAGTTGAGCAGACATAGGACACCTCCTGGCAGGGTCATGATGAGGAACCAAACCTGGACACCATGGGGTCACACGGAGAAGCCAGAGCAGCTGGCTTCGTGTCTGAAAGAGCAAGCCCCTTGACTTGCAAATGTTGCCTCCAATATCTCTCACCTGCTGCTATTCCCCCCACCCAAAGTCCCTACTGTTCACATGTGGGCAGGCTGAGGGATGAACATCCAAAGGCCACCATACCCTGCTTGCTCACCTGCACGGGCTGTCCGGCCAACTCGGTGGATGTAGATCTTGGGGAGCCCGGGGGTATTGTGGTTGATTACCACCTGCACTGTGGGGATGTCTAGGCCCCTAAGGGAAGAGGCCAGTCAGCACCACTGTTCACATGGAGTAACTGAAGCAGGGACCCTCTAAGTTCACTCAGCATTGAAACTGGGGCCACTTGACCCATGTCCAAAGCCAACCTCCCCCTTTGGCCCCTCTATGGGGGCATCATGGGGCAAGCACATGAAGCACCCTGGGGCCACTCACCGAGAGGCGACATCTGTTGCAATCAGGATTCGGTAGATGCTGGACTTGAATTTGGCCAGGGCAGCAAAACGTTCTTTCTGTGCCAGGTCAGGGGAAGAACTGACATCAGTATTTCGGCAAACATTTGAACACTTACTGGTTGGGGTATACCAGTTCCCGGGGCAGAGGCCAGGGCAGTCCAGCCCTCCATGGGCTCACAGTCCAGGCAACCATAAGGGAGAAAGGCAACCATGAGAAGGTCAGATGGACAGACACCACAACAGACACAGTGGAACAACAGGACAGGAAGGCCTCGCCAAGGAGGGACTTGTGAGACTGGGACATGGAAAACAACAGCAGTGTGCCAGGCAGAGAAAAGTACCTGCGCAAAGGCCCTGAGGCTGGGGGAGCCCGGGAGGCATGCTGGAGTGGTTGGCATTGAGACAGCCTAGCAACTTACCTGCTTCATCATGGAGTGCAGAGCTACAGTGGGGAAGTTGAATTTGCGCAACATCATGCATAAGATCTGGCAGGTTCTGGTGGGAAGGACATGTTATAAACTCCAGCCAGGGTCCTGGGAAGGTGCTCCTAGCCTACCCACTCCCAGTCTCCAAGCAGATGGCCCTGCACTGCCAGGGAAGGAAAAGCAGGGGTGCAGGTGGTTGGACCCTGCTAGCTGACATCCTGTCTATTGACTGTTCCCATGGCCTAAGTCCACGAGAGTTGGTCCTATTTTCAGAATTTTTTGTTTTGGTAACTGATAAATTCTTGGGGGCCAGCAGCCAGTTAGGAGGCCTCCCCAACTCCAGCCCTGCTGGAACATCTACAATTTCTTGACAATCTCCCCCAATACTTCAAAGGAAGACCTGGTTAGAACTGCCCCTCTGGGTTATCTGGGACTGCAAGATGACTGCACTGGGGGTTGTGCTGATCTATGGGCCTCTGGAGACAACCCACGCACAGCCCCTCTGGTTAAGGTGGGTCTGACGAACCCTGAAGTCTGTTTCTGCCTCTGAGAAGGGTGGCCCCTCTCGGCCTCCTTGAGCAAATCCTCCGAAACTTCTGGTCAGAGCAGAAGCCCCAGAAACTGGCTGTGTCTCATGCCTGTGATGTGGAGTCATCCGTGGGCCTCTGTGGGGGTCAGGGGACAGGAGTCAACCGGGAAGGGGTGTGACAGGCCGCTCTTGCTCACTTGCACGTATTGGTGAAGATGATGATGGACCAGTCCTCATGCTCATCCTGGAAGCTCTGGATTAGGTGGACCAGATAGGCGTCCTTGACTTTCTCAGGCACCAGCAAGTAGCGCTGGTCCAGCTGCTCCACCGTGCGTACCCTGGGGATGGGCGACTGCTATTTTTCCTTCTGTGTCTACAGCCATACCATCCTGAATGCACCCTGTGTCATGCTTCCCCTTCTGTGGAATGGGGCTGATGCCCTGTCCACAAGGCATAACCTCTAATGGGTGTGAGCTTCACACTGACCACCCTGCCCTTGCCCCAATGTGGTCGTGGACTCACGGGGTCTGAGCCTCCCAGAAGAAGGGCTGGTTAGTGGCCAGGCCCTGCAGCTCCCTGAGTGTGTCGGTCAGGGTGGCACTGAAGAGCAGTGTCTGCCTGCGGGCTGGCACAGCTGCTAGGATGGTCTCCAGGTCCACAGTGAAGTCTGTGCAGCCCTGCTCCAGCAGCCGGTCTGCCTCATCCATCACCTGCAGCACCAGCAAGCAGGGGAATCTAGGTTAAGCACTTGTCCTGAGGGTGGGCACTCTCTCTTCTAAGTTTCCAGCACTCTTACCCCTCTTAGCTCCAACGACATGCCCTCAGTCACCTTCACTAACACAGGTCTCACCTTGTTGACCTCTGAGCTGTCATTGTCTCATGTCCTTCCTATTCTTTTTTTTTTTTTTTAATTTATGCATACAAAAACTGGGGTATGGGCGAGAGGTGTGGGAGGTGAGGATTCACCACAAACAGAATGGGGAACAGGACAGATTGACTGAAATACACTGCTGAGGGGAGCAGCAAGCGAGTCAGGGGAGGTCTGCGGTACCATGTGGATAGCTCCCTGGCCGGGGATCAAACTCGTGCTGCAGTGGCTGCAGACAGCTTCATAGGTTGCGTCTTAACCCCACCAGGGAGCCCCTTCCTCATCTTTTAAAATGTCTCCCAGATAGAGAAATCACTGCTTCGCATGACTCACCAGAAAGCGGATCTTCTTGATGCTGAAGGTGTTGGAGCTGCGGAGGTGATCAGCCAGGCGCCCTGGCGTGGCAATGACTACATGTGGTTTCCGGGAGAGCTCCAGGGCCTGGGCCACCATGTCTGCGGGCAGAAAGGGGGCAAGAGGTGGGACTGGGTAGTTGGCCTGAGGTTTCAGGGCTCCACGCTCAGCGCTCCCTGGGCCCCTTACCCACACCACCCAAGGTCTTCCTGATGCACTGTACCGGTGCTGCTCAGAGATCCCCTGGCTCCCCTTACCCATGCCGCCGACAATTATGCAGTCTTTCAGGCCTAGAGGCTTCCCCAGGACCCGGAACTGCTCAGCAATCTGGTAGGCCAGCTCCCTGTAGGCAGAAAGGATACAGGTTGGATCAGATAAAGAGTCTATGTCAGCCTCCCATTCCCTTCTCCACCCTAGGACTTGTGACCACCCTCTCCTGTTCACACACCCTCCGAGGCTTCCTGTCCCCTTTGACCAAAGGCTCGGATACTGAACATTGGAGGCCCATTGTGATTCCTGGTCCCTCACGATGCTGGGCTCCAGAAGATATCCCAACAGCCCTTTCCCTATCAATACCACCCAAACTGGCCTCTCTTCCTCCCATGGCTTTAGCACTACAGTCGCCAAAGCCTGACAGTGTTGGTCTCCTCTCCACATCCCTGCCCAGCTCCACACAGGCTCCAAGTATGGGATCCCCAAAGCTTCAGACCATCTACCCACTTCCTCATCTCTTGTTTTGCTCTGCCTTGCTCACATGCCTTCAGAATCGATCCTAAACCTCTTGAGATCCTTCTCAAGCTGGCTCTAACACACTCAACCCCCAAGACCCTTTCTTCCCTGCCTTCTCAGTCTTCGCATAAATGCAGTTCCCTCTGCCCAGATTATCTTCCCCCAAGTTTTTCCCTTTGAGGCACTCTTCTCATTCTATAAGGCATCCCTTGAATGAAACCTCCCTCACCCCCCACCCCACCATGCTCTCACAACATGCAGCACCTACCTTTCTTACTGTCCTTACAGACCTATATGTCAGTCACCATACCTGTCTACTTAAGGATGGGGAATGTATCTATTTATTGGATCACAAGACTGTTCACACTTTTTGCACACCATCTCGCATAATTCTTCAATGCCTCTAAGAGGCAGACACAATTTCTGTCCCCATTTCACACATGGGGAAAGCATAGCTCTGAGAGGCAAAGACTCTTGTCCAAAAGAATATAGATGGCTAACTCACAGCAAGGGTCCTATGGTTGGCTCACCTGGTGGGTGTCAGGACGAGGCAAAAGATACCATAGGGATCCTCAGACAACTTCTGCAAGATGGGTAGGACAAAGGCTGCTGTCTTGCCACTGCCTGTCTTGGCACAGCCCAGGCAGTCCCGACCTGGATGGAGGGCAAAGCAGCATCAACACATTCCAGGTGAAAACAGGCCAATTTTGCGACAATTAACACCTAAGGAACAATCACTGTGTGCCCAATAATGGCCTATATCATTTCCATTGTGAGCAACTGGCAAATTCCAAGAGGGAGAGGCCCTTAGAATCTTCAATAAACAGAATGGGAAACTGAGTCTCAGTTTTGCCCAGGACACAAGCTGGTAAACAGAAGTTGAACCACATCCATCTTATCCTAGATGCCAGTTACTGGCAGCCTCAGTTTCCACGCGTAAAATGAAGATAACAGTGTAAGCTCTAATGGATTTCCCCACTACTATCGAGCAGTCATTCACCAAACCCCTCCTGTGCTCTGAGGCTTAGAGAGTTGTGCGCGGACACACTGCAAGACAGTCGTGCAGCCTAAATGCCAACCTGCCCAGTCTACCTCCGTTAATGCTTCGCAGGAGTAGCGCGGTCAAAGGCTGCGAAAAGAAGGCGAAAGGAGCGACGACTGCTCCTGGGGAAGATGCCAGGCCACACTCACCCTCCAGGATGGCGGGGATGCATCCGAGCTGCACAGGTGTGGGCTGCTTCAAACCCAGCTGCCGACATTGTTCCACAAGCCACGACGACAACCCCAACTCCGCGAAACCAGCCATACTCGCCGCCAGCCACGGGGCGCCTTTGAGCCGCGCTTCCGGCGCGTGCGGATGACGCCATGGAAATATTCGCGTTTATTGGATCCGCCTTCTGCGTGGTACCACCCACTCCAGCTCATTCTGCAATTCCCAAAGTCAAACACAGCCTCACCCTGTTTCCCGGAATCCCTTTTGCTCGCAGAATCTAATCGAACTACAATTCCCGAGACGCCCTGCGAGCCGTACTTGCGGCACCCTCCCCTTTACTTTCTATTAAGGGTCTCCCATTGGTTGGTCGCCAGCCATCGGGGAACGAGTAAACTACATTTCCCGGCGTGCTGCGCGGTAGCTCCCTCCTTCCGTTGACGTGTCCCTCCGGAAGAGGGGAGTGTGAAGGCAGCGATATGGCACCTCCTGCCCCAGGTCCAGTTTCTGGAGGCTCCGGGGAGGTGGACGAACTATTCGATGTAAAGAATGCCTTCTATATCGGCAGCTACCAGCAGTGCATCAACGAGGCTCAGCGGGTGAAGGTGGGGCCGTTCGGGGGAGGGGGGCCTCTGGGGGGCGCTGGCATAGGATGCTCCCTGGTAGCCGCCGGTCGTGCTCTCATTTAAAACCTTTCTGGTCTCGTCTCGGCGGTTCCCCCGCGTATTTCTTCAGAACACGGCTAGGAATTGTTTTTGTGCCATGACAGAACGCGTATCTATAACAGTTTGTCACCCTTCTCGGAGTGCGCTTCCTCTGTGCCCTGAGAGGCATTTGGGTGAGGGAGGCGTTTGTACCACTTGCAGTAGTGATAGCAATAACTTTTGTTCACCGCCTACACTTTGCTGCCGAATCCGCAGTACCCGCGAAGTAGGAGCTGTTGTTTGTCCTCGTTTTACCGATGAGAACACCGACGCGGGAGACAGTAATGACTTCCCAGATCTTACCCTGATCCCTTGTGCCGGTTATTTTGTCCCAACCTTGCCTATTAATTCATTCCTGATTGAGCATCTCCGTGGTCAGGCAATGTATTCGTGCTGGATGCACAGCAGTGACAAAATAGGCAAAACTTCCAGATCCCTTGGAAACTTATCTTTGAAAGGGAGGTTTGACAGTAAATAAACAAGAAGTCAGGAAGTTTGGTGGAAAATGGTGGGAAGGAACTCGGTTGTTTGAGAGCAGAGCCCAGCCAGCACTGGTTGGGTGGCAGGGTCCTTTGCCTTTTAGGGAGAGGCATGGATGTTACTTTCATTTTGAGAGTGAGGTGCTGGAATATTTTTAAGAGCTGTGAATATGGCAGGGTCTTGGGGGGGGGTGGTAAAAGGGGCGGGCAGACTCACGGCAGAGGTTTGGATGTTATTTTGAAGGTGCAGAAGGCCATGGGAGCACAAGCAAGGGAGTGGCAGACATCTTCACAGAGTCAGCTTGAGAGGAATTTGGACTCTGAAGTAGAGAAGGCTTGCTTTCCATGCCTCTGTCTTTGGCAGTGTGCCTGGATTCCTGAGCATATGATGGGAATGAAATCTCAGACGTAAAGAGTCTGAGGATTTGTTGAGGTAACATTTGCACCATTGTATTGGTTTTCCAATGCCTCTATGATAATAAACAACTGCTTAAGATGGCACAAATTTATTATTTTACAGTTTCTGTAGGTCAGAAGTCTGACGTAGCATGCTCCAGGCTAAAATCAAGGTATTGGTCTACTGAGTCCTTTCTGGAGGTTCTGGAGAGGAATCCAACTTTCCTGACTTACCATAGCGTGCCACCTTAGCTCTTAGGGACTTCTCTCCAATTCTCTCCTGCCTCCTCTGTGTTCTTTCCTTAGCCAGGGCTATCACTGTACTGTGTGTCTACGAGCCTCAGTTTCACCTCCTGTCAAATGGGAATGATGCCACCTAACTCGGTAGAGTCATAATGAGCTCTAGCGTTACATTCACATTCCATCTTGCAACTTTTGCCATGTATCTCTTTTCCTTACATCATAGCAATGACTCTGAATCTTCTCTTGTCATAATCTGCAAACGTTATGTCCTCACTGAAAGAACCACCATTACCTTCTGTACAGGGAATGACAGAAAAGGAAGAGAGAGAAACCAGGCCAAAGTCACCCTGGCTGGGGGCATGCCATGGCCAGCCTCTGAGCACAACCTGTCCCCTCTTTGGTCACATGGTGAGGGTGCTCTGGTCCTAAGCCTAGGTGCTGCCTCAGTGCATCAGAAGAATGGATGGGTCCCTGCTGAGACACTCAGTGCAATTTAACTCTGGTCCTCAGAGCTAACTCTGACTAAGCCTCAGGCATTCTGTGCTGCATGGAATGGTATCTTAAAAAGATAACATCCACCATGTGTGTGACTTATTTGGGAAGGGAGTTTTTGCTGGCATAATAGTTAAGTGAAGGGTCTCTGGAGATCAGCTAGGATTTAGGATGGGCTCGAAATCCCACTGTAAGCATCTTTCTAAGATAAGGGGAACAAAAAGTTTCAGGCACAGAGAAGGTGAGGGCAGATTGGAGTGATGGCACACTCCACACCAAGGATGGGCATGCTTGCAATCCCAGGGGCTGAGAGAGGTAGGAAGGGTCTTCCTATGGGGCCATTGGTGGGAACATGGTCCCGCCAACACCCGGGTTTTGGAAGTCTGGTCTCCAGAGCGAAGATACTTGGGTTTCAGTTTGTGGGAGTTCATTCATCAGCTCCCAGCAACTTCAATAGGTAACACCTGGTCAAACACATGATGTATCATTGCCGTTGATCATCACCATGTCACTGTTTGTCACTTTTCTTAAGTGCCCACAAGATGGCAGGCAGTATCCAAGTGTTGGGGATGAAGCAGTGAAAAAAGCCTCAAGGAGCTTGCTGTCCAGTGTGTCCAGGGACCAATGGCCACATGGGCAGCAGAGTGAAGGGATGTGACTCCTGGCCCCATCGCTGTCCTCCCTGGGCAGTACCCCTTGTCCTCAGGCCTCACAACACCTCTGAGCCACTGGAGTAGTACAGGAGCACCCAGTGGGGACTGGGGGCAGTCCTGCCATCAGGGATGGGGAACACAGCATCCACCTGAAATGGTACATGAGTCTCCCGGTACTTTGATGGGGGTGGGGCTGAAACTGCTGCCTGCCAAGCTTCTGGAGATACAACTGCAGGTCGTTTGTCCTCATCAATGCCCACATATGAGGGCTATTTGAAGGTTATTTATGTACAGATCCCCAGCCTGGCCACCAAGGCTAGAGCAAGCTGCTGGTACCCTAGGGTGAAGTTGACCTGTCAGATCAGGGCCAGGAGCCAGGCTTCTCATTTGAGGCAGTGTTGGGCCTGGGAGGACATAGTCGCTGCCCTCACCCCTCTCAGGCTGGAGAGAAGAGGGCTGGCTCAGTGAGCAGAAGGGCAGTCCCGATGGACTCCCAGTTGTCAATTCCTCGACCCTTTGTCCCTGTGCCCTAGTTGCTGGACCAGCTGCCCCATTGTTTGCTTTCCTGGGGCCCATGGTTTGAAGGCTGCTGGAGTGCCTGTGCCCTCAATTGAAATTGTGCCCCTGAGAAAGGGCCCCTGCCTGCCTGCAGCCTTTTGGTCTGGCCAGGGCTTCCTCACAGTAACTCCCACTTCTTGGCCCTGCGTAGTGGCTGGGCTGAGGGCATGAGCCGTGGGCTATTTCCCTGGGATTTGGCCTTGGTCTGGTTGGGTACAGATGTCATTGTACCAGGGTAGCCCTGCCAACTCTACAGAAAAGTCCCCTGAGGGAGGCAAACCATGTCTCTTGTTTGTCATGTTTAAAGAAAGCTTTTTGGAGCAAGAGCAGGTCAGAAACAAGATGTGTAGAAGTATTTGCCACAGAAAGTTCTCTCAAGTGTCTTCCTGAGCCCTGTCTGTGCTCCAGCCTCCCCACCTACCTTCAGACTGTTGCTGACCCAGCATGGGGTACTTCCTTCAAACACCCTGACCACACACACTTTTGGACAGTGGCAGTTTGATCCGCTGCACCCGGCGGTCGTGAGGTTGAGGCCTGAGTTCCACCCTGCCTCTTGCTGTATGAACAGAGTGGCCATGGCAGCTGTAGGGGCCTGTTCCTCACTGCACAGACAGGTGCTGATGGGGCCTCCTTCCCAGGGTGGTGTATGTGTGGGGGGGAAGTCACAAGGCAGTTTCAGGAGCCAGGCTTGGGACTCCACTAGGGCAGCTGGGCCCTACCTCTGAGGACCTGTCCATACAAGGGTCCCTGAGTCCTGACCTGCCTCTATTTCCACAGCCATCCAGTCCAGAGAGAGACGTGGAAAGGGACATCTTCCTGTACAGGGCATACCTGGCACAGGTGAGTGTGGACAGGGTCAGGGCTCTACATGCCTGGTGAGGGGAACAAGAAGAGTGGGCCCAGGACCATGAGCAGCTGGTGTGGTCATCCCAAGTAGATAGGTCATGTCCCCAGAGTTCTGGAATGCCAGGCCAGAGGGACAGTGCCAGGATTTCTTACTATTCTCTTTTACCTGATGGGTAGATCTTATTTAGCGTGGTGTTGGGTTTACACAACAGTAACAGAAACCCCCCACTGCCACCCCCATGAGAAGGCAACTTCTTGTGTTACCTGAGCGGGTGCTTTGTTACAGCCACTGCACCTGTAAGGACAGTATTGTTAGCTAGTCCATAATTCACGGTAGACACCAGGGCCTTTAAATTGCATTGTTGCCCTCATGAGATGCCAAGAAGGCCTCCTCTTTCTCTAAAGACACCCAGGTGGTACAAGCAGGGCTGAATGTGCCCGCCTGGCTCCCCCAGACCCAGTATTCTATCTGCCTTGTCCCCAAGTGTTGTTCTTGGAGCTGCCCCTATCTCCAGGCTCTGGTAGCCTTGCAGGGTTCCTCCCACCTCTTTCTCTGCAGGGTGTTCTAGTACCTGACAGGGTCCCAGTTAATGCTTCCTCAGCCTCAGGGTAAAAACTCAGGCCTGGACAGCACATGTGATGTGGCGGGAAACTCCTTGGGATGCGTTCATGTGTATGTGCACACATGTCTATGCACATACCTTGTACATGAACTTTAAAAAAATAAACAGGGCCTCCATGGTGTTGCAAGGGGTTAAGATGCA